TCGATAACCTGCAGCCTAAACACAGCGTCCAGCGGGGACAAGTTCACCTAAACACCGAGAACTTTCCAGCTCCGAACGGCTTCCAGGAGCGGATAGAGACTCTGCCTCTGAACCCGGGAGCTGTTCTCCGTTTTATCCGCATCCAGTCTCCGGTGGAAACTCGCTCTGAAGCCGAGCTTCGTCTGAAGACTTTCCCCCAAGCTTCCCTGTTTCCCCGCGAGCTCCTGATACGGAGCCGCACGAGCGCCGACCCCGTGACGTCACGAAAATGGAGATGAGAGAAATGATGATTAGCTTATCTGACCAGGGGCGGTGCAAAGTTCAAGGCGGCCATAAACAAGGTTTCATTTTTTAGGGAGGACTTAACATTTTAGAATAAAACCAAGCAGCTTTCTCAACATGATCCTGCAACACATAATTATTTTACAATTTTCCAATCCACTTTATTTATATAGCACGGTTTAAATAAACACAAGGTTTCCAAAGTGCTGCACAAAAAGATAAAATAACTAAAATACCTAACTAAAATTTGTTTGTTTGTTATAAATAAACTACAATATTTTTTCTTTTATATTGACAAAACAAGAAGCCCACCAGATAAATACGATCAGTTATAAATAAACTAAGAACTAAGGTTATTTTTGTGACTTTATTGGTGAATTTGTCCATCTGCTAAATCTTGTGAAGGACTCTTAAATATAAAATCTGCATTGTTTAAAATAATTTTAAACTTTATTGATCGATAAAAAAAACAACATTTATTTGCTTGCAAACATTGAGCATTAAATGTAAAAAACAAACCCAGGTTAACAGAATTTATTTTAATGTAAGAGTGATGCAAAAAAAAATCCCTTGTAAACTCAAAAAGTTAAAAACATTTTCTAATATTTTCTTTATTTACAATTGAAAATAGTTTTAATACAGTATTCAAAAAGAGAAAAAAATGCAACAAAAACACACACAAAAAAAAACACTGGTATTTTTAATGAAATATATGTTTTCACTGCAGGAATTTAAACTGCTTTGTTAAAACACCACATTTGTTCATTTAAGAAGACTCGTTAAATGGAATACAACACGGCATCTTTAACAACAACAACAAAAGTCAAAAACATTCAGCATATTTTAATATGTGATGAACAAGACAAAAATTGATACTGATAACTGATCTGTTTTTCTCAAAATACTCTAAAATTGAGCCCAATCTGACTATTTTGTTTTGGTCCTGAGAGATCTTTGGCAGATGGATGGATGCAAAAGAGAATAAACAGGTGTAGCAGGTAACAGTGAGACCCGTTTTAAAATTGATTGACAAAAAGAGACAAGTTGAAACTTTAGGTGATCAGACGGTGCAGGAACTTGGATTGCCCTGTGGTGTAACAATAGAGCAGGTGCTTCATTTATACAGTCTTAAGCGTCAATTTCAGGGTTCAAATCCTCTATTTTATGACCTTTTTGTCTTCCTGCCTTTTCCCACCTGATTACTGCAGGCCACTAAAGTCCACAAAAATATAAAAGCAGACTTATCTGCAATATCTGAAGTCAGCTAAAGCAGCCTAAAGACACAATGAGCTATACAATATCAGGATATGTGCAGTGCAGGAACAGTGATCTACAGCTGCAGGATATGAGGATGAGCTAGAAGAAGATCACAGAGAAAGCTCATAGATTTGTTTATGTTCAGGGAGGATTTGGTAGAAGCAGGGATAAAGGAAAAGGTGAGAAGCAAATAGAAATGAATGAAAGGAAAACAAACTTTGTTTTTATGCAAATAATGTTCCATCTGATGTCTTATTTGATTATATGTATGTATAGATTTTTTCTGTTGTTGTGTAATCTGTGTGACATTTTGCTGGGAGGTAAAGCTGTTTAAAGCACTCTATCCAATTAAATGTATTGATAAGGTACGACATGTTCATTTTTGGCTTCAGATTTTACCGTGGTTAATAGGCCTTCTAATGTTAACAGCACTAAGACAAAAATGATTAAAGAAAAAGAAACAAACAAAACTTTAAAAAGAGCCAGAAGGTATAATAAAAATGCACAAAATACACACCACAGTGAAAGGATTACAGAGAAATAAATGACCTGAAACCACAAACCCTGGCCAAGAACAATAGATATTAAATATGCAAGCAGGAACAGATGGGCGTCCACTGGGTGGCCTGTTTGGACTGTTTATTTGGAGTCATATTACAATCAGTGTGAGCAGAATAACATAATAAGCAGCTAAAAGAGAAACACTGAGATTGGCTACAAGAAACTGAAAACAAAACTGCAAGGTCTTACTGTTTTTAAATCAAATGTAGTTTTGCATTGTTTTAATGTCACTGATGATGTCACCAACATCAAGCTCTTCACCTGTTTACCTCTTTTCATTGACTGTTGTTTATTTAAACTCAGATATATTTTGGAAAATTAAAGATGTTGGATAGAACACTGATAATTTATTGCAATTTAATAAAGTTGAAATCTACAGCATGTATATTGACATAGATAAGGGGTGTAGTTTTAAAATCTTACCACAAGATGGTGCTGTAACACACAAAACAAAGCACACTTGTTAGCTCTTAAAAATCTCAGAACAGTACATTTCCAGAATTTTTATTGCCATTACACTGTCACAAGTACAGAGAAATAAAATGAACTCTCTGCATTTAACCCATCCCCTTAGGAAGCAGTGGGCTGCCATTGTGCGGCGCTTTAGGGAGCAGTGTGGGGTTAAGGGTCTTTGCTGGGAGTGGGACTTAAACTCAGAACCTCTGGATTCCAAGCTCTATGCCCTAATCTTTAGGCCCCCACTCCCAAAACAAGTACATTTGGGACATCAGTTTAAAATATAACATATAAAAAGTTACGGGTATTTTAGAAAAACTACGGAAGTAGCTGAAGAACAAGAAAAAAATCATTCTATTTATCAATCATTCAATCAATCATCAACAAAACAAATTTTATCTGTCGAAAATTTCTAATACAATAAATTGCCAGAAGTACTAGGTTTCACAGAGGGACACGGATACAAACAACAACCACAATAAAAAATGCAGAATTTAATAAATAAAACAGTACTGAAAATCAGGAAATATGAATAAAAATATTCAATAAAGTACATAAGCATAGATAAGATAAGATAAGACTTTATTGATCTCACAGTGGAGAAATTATTTTCTCTCATTGGCTTAATAGTCAAAAGAAGGTGCCAAAAGGAGGAAAAGGTGCATGGGGTATGTAATAAATGCATTCAGATGAACGTATTAACATGTAAAGATGCTTAAAACATTGCTTAAACATGAAACCTATAATTAACAATAACAGAAAAACATAACCATGAAAACATTAAAACAGCAGAAACAGATTGAAATGCTATATAATATTATATTCAATGTTTTCCAGGCCAAGGACCCTGAAACTGATGGCGAGCGCGGGGCCCCCCTAATTATATATATTGTATAAAATTGTGTTCTATCAAACTGGTCCTATAGTCACTCTATTACAGATGTAACAAAAGTAATTTCTCTCTCTGGGATTATTAAAGTAATTCTGATTCTGGTTCCTGGTTGATGGGACAGGTGTTGTGAATGAAACGGTACCCAGCTTGAAAGAGCTCCTGTGTGTCACTGAAGCATTGATGACTGAAAGACGTCTTCTGCCTCCATTTATCTTTTTTACTAAATTGTGTTGAATTCATGATAACGTGTATTTAAAAACATTTTAGTTACTGGAAAAAAATTGCAGGGGGAATATAAAAAAAAGTGTAATCAACCAAAACTTTTGCAACCCCCATGCAGTACCTCTTCAGACCCCTTAGTGGTCACGGACCCCCTGTTGAAGACCTCCTCTATATAATGTTCATGGAATTAAAATGTATTTAAATATACTATGCAGGCTTATCTTTAACTAAATTAATTTTTAGCCACACATTTCTAGCATAACAATTTAAACATTTGCATTAAATAATCAAAACTCTTTATTCTGATTATAGTGTTTATATGGTGACTAATGGTAGGTTATTCAGTTATAATGTTCTCTTTATTTTATTTTTTTTCATTGGATGTTAACTTTAGCATAATTGAATTTATTGGCAGAATTAAAGTTATCCAGAATTTTTGCATCTATGTATTTTAACCTACCTATTGCAGATTTCCCATTTATACAACAAAGCCAAATACATAGTAATACTTAATTTCTCACATTAAAATCAGCATCAGTTTTGGGAAGCGTGAAGAAGTGCAAATATACAGTATTGTAGTGGTGATTGTTTGCCAAGCCAAACATCCAATTAAGCCACTATAAGGCACCGGGATCAAGTTTCTGTACACAGGGAAAGGAAGGTTCAATGTGCAAATTTGATGATGGTTCTGGAAGGTTTATTATCCTATTTCCTATTTAACAATCACAGAGTTCCAACTTTTCTTTTGTCCTACCTCTCTTGCACTGGTAAAAACCATGGGCCACAAACCCAAAATGCCTGCTGGTCCTTTCCCAGGCCCCCCCTTTTTTTATTTTTTTTTTATTTTTTTTTAATTCAACAATTGCACAGTTTACATTAATACATGAACATTCGTCTCCATTGTGAAAATAAGTACACTGTGCAGTATCCAACATTGCTGGTGTTTTAACATTTTACCATAAAACAAAAAGGAAAATTTACATCATCACATTTTGCCAGGTAAAGTACAAATTTATAAAAAGATATTAAATTGTTTACACACATTTACAGTTTTTGTTGCCTTTTGATTAAGAGAATTCCCAGGCCCCTACACTTATAGAAAGTGGACTGATCCACATCACTTCATGTCTTCAATTTAGAATTTAGAATTAATTAACAGAATTCCAATGGATAGATAAATAAAGAATAAATAGCTCCAACAAGTATGTCATAAAAACTAATGACACTACTAATGAGTTGGAGGAGGAGCTCTGCCTTCAAGTGGGTGGAGTTAAGCCACACAGTGGGCGGGGCTAACGTAAAGGTCCAGGCTTGGAGCAAAATGATTGACAGTAAAGCCGCTTAATCCCTAATAAATGGCAAAGCGCTCAGAAACAACACTACCTCTGAACCACAGTCACTCACACCTGGATTTATAAACGTTTCAGGATTTTAAAGGAACTTCTAGGATACTTTTTTCACCTTTAACAACTTTGAACAACATTTCAGAGGTAAGAAGCGTCTTTTACTGGATCGCTGCGACACAGATGCGTCTCTAGAGGTAAATACTTTATTGCTGACTTTAAAAAAAAGCGGATATATTATGATTCAACACTTGCTGTACTTTAGTGTGTAAAAAAAGTTTAATTCTTATTAGAGTATTTTATTCTCCAACAACCTACAGGTAACTGTGAGTAAATTACAATAAATTGACTTCAGATTGAATTCAGAAAAATGCTGGAAGAAGATTTGCACAAGATCTCATCTGAGCATCATGTGTGTAATATCATATCCAGTTTATCTTATCTTATATGTTACATCCTGCTGAGTAATATTTGTCCACCTGTGTGTACCTGTGTGTTCACCATGGTGCTCACCTATCCCGCCCCTCATTCACATTAAACAGCTCTGAGTAAAGCTTCTGTACTTATGTTACCCAGAATCAGGAGATGGAAATGTTTAGGGAAACATAAAGCGACAATTTTAAAAAAATTCTGTTAAGTTATTATTTAATGGGTAATTGGTTTGAGTTTAAATTTTTTTATTTTGTAATGTAAATCAAAACTGTTATGTAAATCTAAACTGCACTGGTTTAAATCAAATACACTAGTATTTTAAATAAAAAAAATACACACACACAAAAACACCACACATGCTTTATTATCAAGTTGACTGTGAAAGTGAGCCGATTAAAAGATATTTCAGCCTCTGGTTATTTCCTGATTGGTGAAGATCAAAGCCCTTACTTTCCTTTTTAGAAAGGATAGGTTTGTGCCCCCCCACCCCTTTACAAATGGCGGCATTTGATGTACAGAAAGTTACTAACCCTGATTTTGGTCAGGAAAGGCACAGCAGCATCAAGAAAAAATGTATCAGTTTTTCTGTATACAGGTGCTGGTCATAAAATTAGAATATCATGAAAAAGTAGATTGATTTCAGTAATTCCATTTAAAAAGTGAAACTTGTATATTATATTCATACATTACATACAAACTCATATATTTCAGATGTTTATTTTGTTTAATTTTGATGATTACAAATGACAACAAATGAAAATCTCAAATTCATCATATCAGAAAATTAGAATATTGTGAAAAGGTTCAAAATTGATGGCCCCTGGTGCCACACTCTAATCAGCTAATTAACTCAAACCACCTGCAAAAGCCTTTAAATGGTCTTTCAGTCTAGTTCTATAGGCTACACAATCATGGGGAAGACTGCTGACTTGACAGTTGTCCAAAAGACGACCATCGACACCTTGCACAAGGAGGGCAAGACACAAAAGGTCATCGCTAAAGAGGCTGGCTGTTCACAGAGCTCAGTGTCCAAGCACATTAATAGAGAGGCGAAGGGAAGGAAAAGATGTGGTCGAAAAAAGTGTACAAGCAAGAGAGATAACCGCACCCTGGAGAGGATTGTGAAACAAAACCCATTCAAAAATGTGGGGGAGATTCACAAAGAGTGGACTGCAGCTGGAGTGAGTGCTTCAAGAACCACCACACACAGACGTATGAAAGACATGGGTTTCTGCTGTCGCATTCCTTGTGTCAAGCCACTCTTGAACCACAGACAGCGTCAGAAGCGTCTTGCCTGGGCTAAAGAGAAACAGGACTGGACTGCTGGTGAGTGGTCCAAAGTCATGTTCTCTGATGAAAGTAAATTTTGCATTTCCTTTGGAAATCAAGGTCCCAGAGTCTGGAGGAAAAGAAGAGAGGCACTTCATCCACGTTGCTTGAAGTCCAGTGTAAAGTTTCCACAGTCAGTGATGGTTTGGGGTGCCATGTCATCTGCTGGTGTTGGTCCATTGTGTTTTCTGAGGTCCAGGGTCAACGCAGCCACATACCAGGAAGTTTTAGAGCACTTCATGCTTCCTGCAGCTGACCAACTTTTTGGAGATGCAGATTTCATTTTCCAACAGGACTTGGCACCTGCACACAGTGCCAAAGCTACCAGTACCTGGTTGAAGGACCATGGTATCCCTGTTCTTAATTGGCCAGCAAACTCTCCTGACCTTAACCCCATAGAAAATCTATGGGGTATTGTGAAGAAGAAGATGCAATACACCAGACCCAACAATTCAGAAGAGCTAAAAGCCACTATTAGAGCAAACTGGGCTATCATAACACCTGAGCAGTGCCACAGACTGATCGACTCCATGCCACGCCGCATTGCTGCAGTAATACAGGCCAAAGGAGGCCCAACTAAATACTGAGTGCTGTACATGCTCATACTTTTCATGTTCATACTTTTCAGTTGGCCAACATTTCTATAAATCCTTTGTTTTTATTGGTCTTCAGTAATATTCTAATTTTCTGATATGATGAATTTGAGATTTTCATTTGTAATCATCAAAATTAAACAAAATAAACATCTGAAATATATGAGTTTGTATGTAATGTATGAATATAATATACAAGTTTCACTTTTTAAATGGAATTACTGAAATCAATCTACTTTTTCATGATATTCTAATTTTATGACCAGCACCTGTAATAGGGTCCCCCTTAACTCATATTTAACTTATTTAATAAAAGCTTGTAAAAGCTGAAGTCTGAGTCTAGTTTTTTTCCAGCAGGAAGACGGAATATGGTTTCCAACTCAGTGAAAATTAAATAAGGGACATGTCTTTCACGCGACATTAAGAATTTATTCTTGCCCTTCATTGTGTGAAGGAATTGTATACATTTAAATAAAACCCAAATTAAATTTAATGCCGAATTTTTTGTCTAAATACAGGAAAGTTATTTTTTTAAGAGACAGTTTGTCAGGGTTTAGTTGCGGTTTGGAGGACCCAAGTGCAGAGGCAGAGAGGCTGAGGAGATTTCTAGGAGTTTTAATGGGGCAAAAACAGTAAACAAAGGCAGGAATCCAAAAATCCAACTAATAATGAAAAGCAAACCAGAACTAAGGAGACATCTGGGGAAACCAAACACGAGGAGCCAGGGAGAGACGAGGAAGGTGGACAACAGCATGGGAGGACAGCAAAGACAAGGAACCAACAAAGAGTGAGAGCAGAGGGAGAGCATATATAGCTGACAGAGACAAAGGGAGGGTTAACGAGCTGACAAGGAGCAGGTGTGAGAGGAGACAACGAGGGAGCCAAGGGGAAAGGAACACACACACACAAGAGGGCAACAGAAAAACATGAGAACTAACATAAATCTAGAAATTAAAACAAAACTGGAATTAAACCAATAAATCTAGAAAACAAGGAGCAAAGTAAAGAACAACAGAACCAAGACAATGACACAGTTGGCAACCCTATGATGGAGTAATTTATGACCATTATTTCTCTGACTGAATGACTGTAGCTTACCGTGTCCAATTTTTGGGAACACATGGAAATTGATTAAAAGTGGCCTGAGAATGAAGCCCTGAGGGACTCCACATGAGGTCTTTGTTCAATCATATTCACTAGGACTGAATTAAACACAACAGTGTCTGTCTGTAATATGATCTGATCAGTCTGTTTAATTTTTTCCCTGCTATTTATGTATTTTTTTTATTTGCAAAACAAACAGCTGTTATCGCAGACCTTAATTTGACAGATTTTAATTTTCTACAGAAAATTCTTCTGAATGCAAAAACTGTTAAAAAACTCTGATGAATGTAATAACCACCAATGTTTGAAGTTGTTATTAAATAAGGACCTAAAACTCTGCAAATTAAAACATGTTATAATTAATTCAGGTATGTCTGTTTGAACATATGTTTAATCTCTGCTTTGTGATGTGTTCCTCTGACTGACACAGACACAGAGTGAGTTCAGGATTAAACATCATCTCAGATTACCTCCCTCCTCCCACCAGCTCTGTCTGAAACAGACACACACACTGGTTCTCCTATCTGTGTGAGGAGGACCACTGAACCAATACATTCCTTAACTCTTTATCTCCAATCAGATTGAAAACCTTAAAAGCCGGCAGGGTGATCACATTTCACGGTCTGAATCTTTTTGTATTTTGTCTAAAGACACCACCCATCTGTGCGGTAATGTCAGCTACATGTTTTTCTTAAACGTGTGCAGCCAAGTTAGGCTGCAGGAATGCAGTCGGGTCTGTTTGAGAGGTTTCTGAGTTTGACCACATCATTTTCTGCATATTTTCTCAAGTCCAACCTTTTTCATGCAATCCAGACAAGGTTCGAGTTCTCAGTGATATACAGTAATTTTGGTTAATATGCTTTTCAAAGCTAATGCTGTGCACAGCTTTTTAATAAAAAAAAAGCAACAAAAAAAATGAATGAAAGCTGCAAAGACTGATTCGAGGTGAAAAGCAGACAGAAACATGCACACACTGACATGCACATCCTATAATGACCAAAATCCATCAGTTTATCCCTCACAGACCCACAGAGATTAGAGGCCCAGATGGTGCAGGATGAATTAGTTTGCGTTTGTTTTACCTTTGTTGTTGGGACATTTATCTCTTTTGTGCATACAGTAATGGCTTAAAATAAAAAAAGCAGTTATTACTTATATTTAAAATTTAGCTATGCAATAATTTTTGAGAAATATCTCTTCTTCCCTGTAGGATAAAAGCTAGTTTTGGCTCCTTAGTGTCTCCCCAGCAGCAGAACATACAGTAGGTATGCTGAGATATCTTCACGTCCTCCCTGGGTATTCCTGGAATTTCCCGTAACGCCCAGGGTGGGACCCAAACACGCTGTCACTTTTTCCTGTTTGTATGTGCCTGCTGACGGCCCGTTCTTCCTATTTGAAACGCATGAAGTCATTAAAACAAGAATCAAAGTCACATTTAAAGGATCTTCATGCTTGAAATTGAGTAAAATAAGAGAAAGCAAAACTTAAACACTGTGTTATTGTGCTAAAGTTGTTTATCATTAGATTAGAAATCATCGCAGCCCTTTATTCTCCCAGCTGAGCTAAAAATACATTTCATTGTGACGGATTACAGTCCTTTAGCCTCACATCTCTGCAAGCTGGTTTTAAAACATCGTAGATTGAATGAGAACAGAAGCTGCCCGATAGGAAGGAAATCTATATAAACAAAGCAGAACATGTGGACAATAGATTCATGCAAGTGGGTGACAAAACAAACTGTTATTGTCCTGGTTGCACCTACAGTTTGTTCAGGTCTTTTATCATTCAAAGAGTGCTGAGCTTTCTAAATCAAACATGAAATGTTTCTAAGACCAATTTAACCTCTTAATATCCACCTCATTTTGGGTAATCCTTGCCTATTTTGCATACCCAAATAGAAAATTAAATAACTTAGGAACCGTAACCCCAAATTATATGTGTGATACATTAATTGTAAGCTAACACTTTCTAGTTTCTGAATATATATATATATATATATATATATATATATATATATATATATATATATATATATATATATATATATATATATATATATATATATATATATATATGTATATGTATATATATATGAAATTTGGGTGAGTAAAAAACAGCACAAGCTGCATCAGTTCAAACATGACTCAAAGTAGTTTTTTTTATTCTTAAAAATAATAGTTCTTTTTTGAACAGTAGTAATAAAGATATGCTTACTTGTTGTGGCTGCTTTGTCATGGTATATTTTGCCATGCTGCTATATCTGTGTTAATTGTTCTTTGGTGCTCACTATGTCCATAAAATGAACTAGGTGGTTGAATTGTGGAGAATCTAAGCTTTCCAACGATGTCTAACATGTCAATATTGAAAATGTTTTGTCATTGTCTCCTTTCTATCTCCTCTTTCCTTCATCTTTTCTCTTTTTTTTTCTTCTTCTGTTTTTCTGCTCTATTTACATTGCAGTGTCCATATAAACTGTAAAACTCCCTGCATAATTATAATAAAGCAATTTATATGCATGAAACAAGTGGAGCTATATGGCGATAGCCATACTGCTCCACTTGTGAAAGTAAAATCTGTTGGGCTCTTTTTGGCATCAAGACAACTATTCTTATTGCCACATTGCCAGACAGGACACTGTTAATAAATAAAAATAACATGTCAATATTGGTAAACATTTTACCAGTGTAATTTTCATGCATTCTGAGTTATTTTTTGTAAACGCTTTAAAACGGTGGGTTATGAGGATTATGGCATTGTAGCAAATAATGATACAAAACATCATTAGTGGAGGGGCAGAGCAAGAGATGATAGCCTTGATGATCAGGTGCTCCATCATCCATTAAGAGCTTTAAGGAGAGCCATTGTTCTTCTACGTAAACTGAGCAGGTTAGGATTACTCAATCTGCTTTCTTTGGGGGTTTCAAACGCAATGCAATGACCCAGAACCTGATAGATGGACATGGATGGATGGTTCTATGGATAGATGGATGGAGGGAACCCTTGCAATCAGACAACTCCATGCATACAAATCCAGACTGGGATTTCAAACTAATGCCTTGGTGGAGGGGTAACCATCTATGCCACCTTACAGCCCCGAACTTTATCATATAGCACCTGGAATTTCTATGTTGCACAATGCATTCTTGTCGGGCAACTTTTTATTTATTTTTTTTTTTTTACATTTTACAGTTGAAAATGCTCTTTGCTGGGGATGTTGTTCTGTTAGGCAAGACAAACAGTAGAAATTGGAGATTTTTCAAGATGTTATCATGGTTTGATGTTTAGTTGACAAGGTGATGAAAATAAGCCTGCATGATCTTTACTGATAGATTCAGGATTCAGCCTAGCCTGTCACCTTCTCTTTAGAATCCCATGGCAGTTCCAGTTCACCTTTTCTGGATTTCAGTTTAAACAGTTATATATATATGCTTCTTCTTCTTTTTTTTTCCCCCTACCCATTTGGTGTAATTTCTTCTCTTTTTCACCTTTAATTATTTCCTTTATTTTTTTTTTTTTACACAGTGTCCTGTCTGGCAATGTGGCAATAAGAATAATTGTATAGATGCCAAAAATAGCCCAACAGATTTTACTATCACAAGTGTAGCAGTATGCCAATTGCCATATTGATCCACTTGTTTCATGCATTTAAGTTGCTTTATTATAATTATGCAGGGAGTTTCACAGTTTATATGGACACTGCAATGTCAATAGAACAGAACAGGAAAAACAGAAGAAGAAAAAAAAGAGAAAAGATGAAAGAAAGAGGAGATAGAAAGGAAACAATGACAAAGCATTTTCAGTCTGCTTCATCACCTGCAACGAGATGTAAAAAGAACAGCACAACCGAAGACACGGTACGAGACATACAATAAAGCAACACCTTGAAACTATCGCTGAAGTAGTATTATTTAGTCTGACATGTACTCTATGTTACCTGAAGATATCTATACCTTTAATTATTTCCAAAAGAGCTTTAAGTTTCTGCTAGGATGTTTTGTGTCTTCATCAGTCTGCCTGGAGGTTTTCCTTTTAAAAACCTTTACATTTTATCCAGACTGGTTCTAAAGCCACCTGGGAACACTCAGCATCCTATAAAGCACTATTAAATGACCTTTGTCATCCTATACATGTTAAAGTTTCTGCTGACTGCTCTCTTGTTGATGCCATCTTTCCTGTCTGTGAGTCTGGTAATAAAGCTCGTTAAGGTTTGCAGCCTTTTGTTCCTCTCTAAAGACTCAAGAGCAGGATGGTTTTCAGAAATCCTGTACGAGTTTTTGTGCATTTGGATAAAAACCAAGAAACCATGTCTTAATTTTAATTATACAGCTTTGTGTGGCATCTATTTATGTTTAAAGCTGAATCAGCTCAATAAACTATATCAGAGGTAGTGAGTATTTGTAACCAAGGAGGCTTAAAGTAACAGGGAGCCATATTAACATATTGCTTGTATTGTTGTAGATTTGGTTTCATATTTAAACATTCATATATTTTTTATTTTTATGTTGTGGCAGGCCAGCAGCAGCTCATTGAGCCCAGGCATGGCGGTTGACTCCGGACAGATAGAACTGAACAGATCCTCCAGGTTCTCTCCTCCGCAGGCGGCGTCCTGCTCACATTGAACTGGGAGATACCACAGCTGCCTGACAGACAGTCAAAATGATGGCCTCGGTGGTTGTCGGGGGCAAACGGAAGAAGTCCCTCACATTGAGAGGGGTGGACCCGGAGACCTGCATGATTGTGTTTAAGAACCACTGGATGCAGGTAATAAACCATCAGCTCAATCAGAATGGTTCCCTTCTCATAATGCCTGTTTGTCTCCACTGCCTCCAGCTCTTAGTTCAGCCTTTCCTTCATAATTTCTGGCCGACTGTGTATGAATGTGGCCGATTGTTAGTCTTGGTTTGTTATTGTGGGTTTTTGATCCAGACTTTGGCCCTTAATCACTGAATCCTTTTACACCAGATCTCTGCTACTGCCAAAAAAGCAAAACAAAAAACAGAAACCTCAACATCTCTGTGTGTGCGTTCATTTCTGAACGTTTTACAGTCAGAAGATTACAGATTTAAACAGCATGTTATATGCTTTTATCATTGCGCTGCTTATTTGTGAGTTTATTATTTTCCATTGGATGAAAAAATGCTCACATTTCCAATGATCCAGTTTTGCTGTTTCTGCTAAAAACAGAAAACCTACAGATCTTCATTCTCCCTTAAAGGCTATAAATGTATATTCCACTGCTTGTAAAACCGTTGCCTAACATCTTAAAACCATTAACGCATTGTTAAACTCATTTAGATGATAGATGATTATATTATTCGGGTGCCAAATTATATTCTTTAATTACCCAGTGAAATTAAAACCTGGAAAGGCTGCATAGAAAGTCTAAAAGTGAAAATGAAATTACTTAACCACACTAACTTCATTCATTAGATTGTTTCTTACTATTATCAATAATTTGATTACAAATGTGAAAAATATAAATGGATGGAAACATCCATCCATTTTCTAACATGCTTATCCCAAGTGGGGTCACGAGGGGTGCTGGTGCCTATCTCCAGCTGTCTATGGGCGAGAAGCGGGGTGCACCCAAGACAGGTCGCAGTCCATCGCAGGGCAACAAAGAGACAAACAACCATTCACACACTAAGGAGAATTTAGAGAAGCAAATTACCCTAACAGTCACGTTAGGACTGTGGAGGAAGCCGGTGTACATGGAGAGAACCCACGCATGCTCAGGGAGAACATGCAAACTCCATGCAGAAAGATTCCAGGCCAGGAATCGAACTCAGAACCTCTTGGCTGCAAGGCAGCAGTGCTACCCGCTGCGTCACTGAGCAGCCCAGAAAGAAACAGCATTGGTTGATGCTCCAGCTAGCAGTTGAATACATTGATAAAACCAGCTTTACTTCACAATCATAAAACACTTAAGAAATTTGGTTTGACGAAAGACGAAACTGAAAGGACCCTGAAGCTTCCCAACCACATTGCTTATGCTTTGGATCCCATTTGCCATGCAAAAGAGAAGAGGCAGCGGTGGAGTACATGCCATAAGCTTTTGTAGAATTCTTCATTTTCCTATGCAGCACCGTGGTCGTGGCACAATATTCAAAACTCTCTGCAATTACAGACTCTTATTCCGCTACAGCATTTTAAATCACTATTGAAAACCGCTTGCACAGAGAATTGTAAGTGTTTTTCTAGAGTCTAGTTTATGATTGATTTTATGATGTTGTTCTTTGTTTTTATATGTCTTACTGTGCTGCTGCCTCTTGGCCAGGTCTCCCTCGAAAAAGAGATTTGCTCTCAAGGGACTTCCTGGTAAAATAAAGGTTAAATAAAATTAAAAAAAATCTGCTAATTGTTAATTGATTCAAAAAACGTGCCTACGTATGAAGCTTTCAGTTAACCTTTGAGGCTAAAACTTTAATTCGCATTGGGAACAAACAGATTTGCCTGTTTGAAGTCCAGAAGCGTTTTGACTTTCAAACATTGCAGCCGTACCTTCACTAAAGGAACTACTTTGAGTGTAAAAAATGAATAAAAAAAATCCTTAAAGGTTTCCCTCAAATATCTTTAGGCCTTATCCCCCTTCCATCCTAGGATCCATGTTTACACGACTTAAAGTGAAGTTCTCATGCCTGTTTAGACCTTTCTACATCTTTTCAAATAAAGACTTGGAAGTTTTCCAATTCTCTGCAAAAAAAAACAAAAAACATTTAACTAGTCAAGGGATGACACATTAATTAGAATTAAATGCGATTACTGTATTAATTATTATATAATTAAATCACATACAGTATATATCACATATAATATACAATATACTGTAAGTTGTTGAAATTGTTATCTAATTTAGTAATCAATTAATCGTAAAGTATAGAATGAGTATGAGAGACCAACCTACTCAGAGAAGTAATAATAAAAAATAATATATAAACACTTTACATTTAAGATTATATTGTTCTTGAATTTGTTATATCTAGAACTCTTTAATTGGTATACTTTTAGCTTCATCCTGTGAAATTTTGTATCTTTTGTATCTATCTGCACCTTATGTTATCTGTTTGCCAATTGAATTGTTGAAAAACAGATGATCTAATAATTGGAGCTCTAAAGTAGCCACAGTTGAAAAATAAAATTATTTGAATTGCTTAGTTTTAGTATAAGTTATTTTGACATCATATAAAACAAAACCTTGCTCAATTATTGTTTGAACATCTGTAAAATCCATCTTACGAAGAAACCCATGTAAACAGATAGGTTAGATAGCAATCTATATATCCGTCCGGCTGTCTGTCTCTCTGTCTGTATATCTATCTGCATCCTTATCCCATCCATCATGTCCCTCTCTGTGCAGGTCGTAAAGATTCTGGAGAAACACGAGCCGAGTCGCAGCACCTCCAGGGCCCTTAGCTTCCTCTCAGGTCACCATGGTAACAACAGCAGCTCCCGAACGTTCCACCTGGGTCCGATTCCCGCTGACGAGGCCAGCGCGGTGCAGAACTATGTGGAGCACATGCTGTTCCTGCTGATGGAAGAAGAGTCAGGGCAAGGTAGGAGGAAGCCATCATGGTTTGTCGTCACTGTGCTGCGTTAAGTCTCCTGACTGGTAATGATGTGCTGGATACCAGAAGGAGCCATGGGTCCCATCCTGGAGTTTGTGGTTCTGGAAGGTGTGATGGAGAGGCTGTTTCTGTGGAGCCTGAGGAGACAGTTCACTGAGGACATGAAGCTGGAGCAGCTCAGGATGTACCAGATGCTCTTATCTCAGGCCAAACAGCCTCTGCTGCACCACAAACCTGTTCTGCGGCCGCTCATGATGCTGCTCACTTCCTGTGCTGGAGCCGCAACTGGTCAGTTCTTAATCAGCTTGTTTAATATGAGGGAAATAAAAAAATAATGTTCTGCCTTATTGTCTTTTAATGCCTTATTTGGATTTACAGCAAAAAAAGTCTATTTAGATGTGCCTTGAGTCTTTAAAATATGATTTATTTCAGTCTGACCCTGCACCTACCTTTAGAGAAGGTTGCAATATGACTCAGATAAAAGGTGTTTAACTGATGCTGTTTGAGGCCCCGTCCACACGAAGTCAAAACGAACACGAAACGCTGATATTTTCCAAAACGTTTGCCGTAAAGACGGAGACGTAAAATAAATGTGAGCGTCCACACGAATGCATGAAAACGCTGCAAAATTATGCAAGGCCTGTAAGTGGCGCTGTGGTGCCAAAGCAAAAATAAGCGACGAAATGTTGGGCATGGCACTAATATTTATTCATGGTTGCCCTGCGGGTCCATTTTCGTGGTTAAGTCAAATTCAGGTGCTGAACTATGTGGTCGATATTGCTCTGTTCTTCCTGGAGATATTCCAGAAGAAGAAGATTCTGTTGTAAGCCCGACAGCAGGGTGAGTAGCATTAGCAGCAACGGCGCCATTGTTGTTGTGATACTGTGTCGCGCATGCGTGTTTAGAGGCGACGCTATGACGCATGCGTGTAAAAAAAAATATGCGGTTAGAGCTTAAAGATGGAAACGCGAAAACGGCGTTTCGAAATCTTCCCACTCTGAAGGCTGAATAAAAAAAGATCGTTTACAGACCCCCGAAACGCCGGCTTCGTGTGGATGAGAGGCTGGTTTGGTGAAAAATTTGTGCGTTTAGGCCAGGGTTCGTCTTCGTGTGGACGGGGCCTTAATGTTACTTTGTATTTCTCCTACCATTTCCATGTTAACTTGTTTAATGCTGCAATATTTGTATAAAACAGCCAAAGTGATGCCCTTTTATAAGGAATTGTGGCTGTTGCAGTGCAATTCACAAGTACAGAGCAACAAAATTACTCTCTACGTAGTACCGGCGCCCAGTGAGCAGTGTGGGGGTTAAGGGTCTTGCTCATGGGCCCAGAGTGGAAAGGCTTCCTGTTTGCAGGACGGGTGACTTACCACTTTGGCTACATGTTTACATTAATTTAAACCTGCATTCAGGTATACAGGCATCTTACTGTACTCACAGAAACACACCAATAGAGAGCCCTCCTTTCCTCCACTGCTTCTGCAAGCACTTGTCTTCGGGCCGATGCTTGAGTGGACATTAAACACACTCTGTATATGAGTCTGCATGCAGTCAAGCATATCTGTTCCTGCAGTTTTCATGAGAAAAGCGTTCATTCCCCCCACTGCCATGGTGAACATTTACCTGCTAACTTTACAAAGACAAAAGAAACAACGTTCAGATTGGTGCTTGGGTTTGTGCTAATTGTAATCCCCGAAATTAATTCCCTAAACGGAAGCACAGAAGTTTCAGAAAAAACTGATGTTTTAAAAAAAAATCTTTTTATCATTTCATGAGGTTTTTTCGTTGTATTGAATCTGTTATATTTCGCACAACTGCAATGGAAATACTTTCTCTGTATAACACCAGGCACATGATCTTCAGCTAGAAGAAGACAGGAAGTAATTGGAGGATGATGGCGGCCACTAGAGCCATGGCTGAAATAGGGAAATATCTCATGTTTAAATTTGCCACTACCATGTTTTTTTTCAGAATTATTGCTTTAACAAATGTGTTCACTTGCAATTTTGTTATTTAATGCAAATAACACTATAGCGAAACTAAGCCTTTTCAAATTTGGTAAAATATCGACATAGTTTGTGCACATTTGTGCACAAAGTGGCTTTAAAACTGTTGGTCCTTGCGACTGGATTTTCTGAGAAATGGGTCGCTGTTAGCTGTTAGCTGGGGAGCCTTGTCAGCTTCAAAGAAATTGGGTTTGAAGATTCTGCCTCGCAAGACATACTATGTTCACTGAGCAGGGTAGTGAGACACCAAGTAGGGGGTTGTAAAAATCTTTTGCATGCAGTTTTCTGAATCCACACAGACTCAGCACAGACCTTTATAGAAACATGCTTAAACTTATAAGCATCCAGGCAACTGCGCTTTGAAAAACTCCTTCAGCATGAAATCAAAGGTGAAAAATCCTCCACCTCAAAAGGTTTTGTCCATGCAGTAGTTCCCAGTGTCACTCTAATTCTGTATGGTTCAACATGTCAAACTAATGACTAGCTGCCAAGTTCTGACCCCACCCTCGGTAAATCATCCCTACAGTTAGCCCTGCCCCTCCGGGTAATTCGTACCCACCACTTTGGTGCCATTTTTTTTTTTTTTTTTTTTTGGGCGGTTGTTTTTTAGGGGAGTGGGAGCCTAGGGGTTGGGGCATTGCAATTGATTCCCAGAGGTTCTGAGTTCAAGCCCCACTCCCACAGACTGCCACTGTATTTTCCTGAGCAAGACCCTTAACCCCACATTGCTCCCCATGTGCCGCACAATGGCAGCCCACTGCTCCCCCCAAAAGGGATAGGTTAAATGCATGAGTGAATTTCGTTGCTTTATACTTGTGACAGTTTAATAAAAATAATGTTGACTTCTATTCTATTCTATTCTATTCTATTCTGCTTTTAGATCAAGGATCTTTAAAGTAGTGTAAGACTTGAGAATGCGTTGCTAGTAAGATGTTAACTCTTGTACCTGGATGCCTTGTCCCACAGACACCGGCGGTGTGGTGGAGGCGGAGCTGGTCTACCTCCTGCACCAGCTTTGTGTGGCTCTGGTCAAAGATCCATCTGTGCTGGAGCTTTTTTTCCACAGCAGTCAGGACCAAGGAGCTGCCAACTTCCTGCTCTTCTCCCTGCTCATACAATATACACACAGGTAGGCACTGCATATCTCCCAATCAGGGTATGCCTCTCCGCAATACTTTAGAGAGAACACCGAACATCTGAGCATTTAGAAAACTCACTTTGAGTATGAGAGTAGATCCTAATATCCCAGTATGACGCTACATTAAAATATTGTTGAAACACTAAGAAATGTGCTGACTGTCTGCTTCAGATGCTTCACCATAGATCATAATGGATTTACCATGTTAGATATGAATGATGGATATAATAACAGTTTACATTAAGTTAACATGTTGCCTTTGGCAACTGTTTTGTGCAAAGTTGTTTGCTGAAGTTCTATCCCAACATTAGCATATGGTCTCTCTGTTTTGATATGACTTGTTGATAATTTGACTCAAGTAATCCAGTATTTGATGCAAACTATAACTTACAGTAAAAGTGTTTTTCATGCATCATGATTTTGCTTCAGTCATCAGAGTTATGATGGTAACCATTGTTGCCACCAGATTTGTACCTTCAGCTGATCTATATCGTAAATATATCAGGAACACCATTGATCGTGTTTAATAAAAAAAGACAGAAAACACTATTCTCTCTCCCTAGTCATATAAATTATAAATGTTATTTACAAAGTTTCTGAGAAAATGACTGCATCCTTCCTGTTACGCCCATTCTGCCCAGCTCCGTTTTGCTGGGCAGGCACTTCTTGCACTTCATTATCACGTTTTTCCCTTTTGTGCATTTGAAAACAAATAATCCTTCCAAATATGGCCAAGGGTTTTTTTGCCTTTCCTCATCCATACTCCCTATGTCGTGATTAGAAACTGCCATCTTCCAAAGCGCAGCACTGGATTATGTGAATAATCAATGAGTAATTTAATACAATGAGTAATTGCAAGGCAGGAGCATGCATTAAGTTTGGGTTCAATGACCTAGCGGTTTAAATTTCTGGCGGCATTACATTTTTTCACCATCAGTATTATTATTATTTTTTACTCAGTAACGTGAGGGGGGTTTTAAATGTAGCAAAGTAAAACTACTTTGGTTAAAATTTACTCCAGGAAAAGTAAAAATAACATATTTCAAAAACTACTCAGACAATTACAAATTACTCATAAAATGTACTCAATTACAGTAACGTGAGTAAATGTAAATCGTTACTTTCCACCCCTGCCCGAAAATGTGATCATATGTGTGTTATTTCCAGCAGCCCATTTCTTTTAGCTATGGATTTGTAAGTAATTGTTGTGTTTTATTTGTTTGCATATTATTTAAATTTTTATAGTATGTAGTGCATAATCGGAAGGATGACACAAGTAAGATACAGATAAACCAGATGTAATTATATTTTGCCCGGCTGCTCTGACCATGTCCCATGATGATGCCAGACACATCCGGTTCTCTCAGAAAAGTCGTTAACAAATTTTATACAATGTGGTTTGGCATTATTTGATTATTTAAGAATAGAAATAAGCAGTTTCAAAATCGTAAGTACATTATTATGAAGATCTTGATGAATAACTGCTTGGACACAAACAAATAGGCTGACGGTACGGATCAGATCGGGTCACAGATTGTTACAGATCATGACAAGTATTTTGGTCCAACTTTTTACCTAATGTGGTTCATTGGACACAGATGGACAAGAAGCTGCAGGAGGCAAAATGGCCTCTCCCTCAGAGAAAAGATCAATGTACATTTGCAAGTAAATGACATGACAACAGATGGTTATTGGGATTTTACATTATTTTTAACAATGGCTAGGACGAGAATTTAACAGATTTTTTTCGTACACCCTGGCCTTCCTTACTGTTCAGTTTAGAAGATCGGTTTCTCATCCGATTGTGGAGTCATCAGCTTGGAATATCATGAACTGTGTTCTTATAATTACCGATACATCTACAGACTATAACAGAAGATTTGTAGCACATCAGATAATAGATGTTCGGGAGGCTTTTTTATCATTAGAGGCCTCAGATTAGAAGGTTGATGATGCTTTGTCATCTGCCTGAGTCACTTAAGATGACTTTTGTCAACAATTTTTTTAATTTTTTATTAGCGCTATGGAAATTAAAAAATTGTATTAATTTTTAAGAGAGGAGTGACGTTATATTGTAAAATGCCTCAACCAGGATTCTTGTTACGTACTTGGCATCAGATCAGGACATATATCTCATACATCCATCATTAATTTCACCAATTCAGTTCAATTGAGAGGTTCCCTAAATTGAATGAGATAAGCAGTTCTTACCAATGTCCCGTGAAAAGATTACAACAAATGAATGCAATTACCTCTGCAGTCTAAATCAGCTACAGTTTGTTTGTGTTTGTCTTCCAGACAGGGTCTGGTAGGCCAGCAGGCCCGGGATGCTCTGCTGCTCATCATGTCTCTGTCAGCCTCAGAGCCCAGAGTTGCTCAGCACATCGCAGAGAACACCTACTTCTGTCCTGTAAGTGTTCAGAACACACAAACGCACTGATGAGCGTAATGATATGAAAGTCCTCCGGCGCTGATAGGAGGAGTCCTTGATGGTTCATGTCAAGGCGACGGAGGAGACGGCTGGTTGCCTCATGGCCGTTGCTGCATGCCATAATAATCTCATACATTCGCTCCAAATGTTTTAGGCCTGAAAACTTTTGATCCACAACCCAAATATAGCAGTTTATGCTTCACAAATCACTGTCAGAAAAGCTAAACTACTTGTTCTTATATTATTTAGAATGAACAGGGGAAGAAAAAAGAGGATATAATAGATCTGAGAATGAAAAATCCCCTAACATAATGTAATAAGTGATTATCAGATTTTCATGAATCAAACGGCTGTTTAAATGAATGCAGATTGTTGCATGAGCTTTCCCCCCCATTCATCTCCCCTCAGTATTGTAATCTCATTATCATGAGTTATGCAATAAACTAATGAGCTCATAATGCCTCCTCATGGGACTAAATGTGTATGGAGAGGGAGAAAGAAACAATAAGGCGGGCTAATGAGGGGAAAGCAAGAAGCAAAAACAAATAGGGAAAGAATCAGGTTAGACTTGGACAGAAATGTGCAGAAAATATTAACATAAACACGAAACCATTAGATGAAACATTTCAACCTAAAAAAAAGTGATGAGAAAATTGCACAAGGATTTAGCAAAAGGTAAGGGTAAGGTTAAGAAAGCAGGAGATATCTGTGCCAGCTTCTTTGTCACCTTGTGTGAGGAGAGCATAGAGACATCTGAGGTTCCTATTTAAAACCCAGAGACGGTGAAGCAGACGCTGCTCAGCACGTGCCACCTGTGAGCATGTTTATGTTGGAGTTCTCCAGCTTTAAGCCCATGTGACCACACTCTGACCTCAATCTCTTTGAAGAGAGCAGATTAGTAAATCAGCCAGGGATTGGGCCCGCTGCATAGAGAGAGATTAAGAAGGCTGCACATGATTGGATGGCTGCCCGATTGTTAATGAGTCTCCAGGCTGCAGCTGTTGGCCACTGAGGAAGCTGCTGTTGTTTAGACTCATCTGGAGGTTTTAATTCTATCCATCTCCTCTTTTATGTCTGTTTTTTTAGCTATCCACTGTGCTTTCTATTAGTAGATTTTTTTTTTTTTTTTCATTAATTCGTTCAGAAAATTCAAAAGAAATCGGTATACATGGGCAGTTGACAAGTGAAATGAACGAAAAGAAGCAGAAAGAAGTAAAAGCTTATTTTGTCTGCCCCCATTTTCAATAAAGTATTACTTATTCAACTCGGATTAATTACAACCGTACAAACATAAAACAAACACACCATGTTCCCCAATACACAGGAAACAAACAAACAATATTGACTCCTAAAAATGACCTTAAAGCTTCTATTAAATAGAGAATAAGTTTCTGTTTGTTTTAACTCACTAATAAGATTATTTCACAAATCAACTCCTTTAATAGAAATACATTGTTCCATCATTGCTGTTCTCTACCTGGATTTTTTTAAAACTATCTGTTCCATTTAAGTTATACTTACTTTCTCTTTTAGAAAATCTTTTTTTTTTGTAATATTGTTTGGAAGAACTTTGTTTTTTGTGGCTTATACATGAATTTTAAACTATTATACTCTATCAATTCTTAAAGTTTTAATGTATTTAACTTTATAATGTCTGATTTGCGTGATCTCTGTATCCACTTATATCTCCTATGGCTCTTCTACAATAAAAAGAGAGGTTTTAAATGTCATCTATAAGCGTTAGCCCACACTTCCCTACAATATGTCAGATATGGCACAATAAGTGAGTTATGCAGAATGTTCAAAGCTATTTCATTTAGGAAGTATTTTATTATGCTTAAAACAGCAATAGTTTTTGGTATTTTAAGTTTTATATGATCTATGTGAAGTTTCTATATCACTCGTTCATCAATCAGAACACCAGGAAACTTGACTGTTTGTTTATGTTGCATGCACTGGAAAATCAATATAGCAATATGTAAAAATGTCTTAAATTAAGTGTATTTATCCTTCATTTGAGTAGGTAAATTAGCATTTTTACTCTTAAAACAAGATAGTTTGATAATATATAATATAATAGTAATTTATTATTAGTATTATAATAAATGTCTCTTTTACCTCCTCAATCCAAGACCAAATGCACTTATTTTAAGACTTATCTAGATTTTGATTTTTTTTCTGAACTGAACTCTGTTTTACTCATTTTTAAGGATAATCAATTATTAGTGAACCATTTTTTTTTCTCAATTTGTGTTTCAACACTTCATGCACCTTTTTATATGTGTCGCCTTGTTGGCAAATCATATATCATAGAAAATGTCTTTAGGTTTAGAAATTTTCAGATGAAAAAAATGATCATGCTTAAATCTAAAAAGAGCCAAAAAGATCTAATGTTGCTTTGACAATGAAGCAGCTTTTACCTGGTCTTCTGTAGGACTAAACTAAGAGAAGTAAACTAACTGACCCAGAACATCAACAAGTACAAAAAAATAAACAACAGTCTTCCTACATCTATGAAATTAGAATTTGGTTACATTCTGCCTGGTTTTATTTGTCATCCATTTGGCTTTTGATTAAAATTATTTTGTATTTTCATGAGAATATATAAAAACTCACAAAGTCTGCATAAACACTGCAAAAAATTCAAATCTACATAAGTTATTTTTTCCTAAAATAAGCGCATTTTTTCTTGAAGATTTCATTGTATATTTTAAATGCCAGCAGCATTTTTATTTTTAGCTCAAACAGAGGCCCATCCTTTTAGTTTCATTCCAGGTCAGAAGCAAAACAATGGCAGGTGGATTGTTTTTCTTTAGTTATGTAGAATGAAACATCTGAATACCTATCTCAGTTTTTGGTAGGGTCACAAAAAATGTGGGACAACCAGGAGGTTATGAGCCACGATACGAGACAGTCACAGCTTTTTTAGCTCTATGCTTCTTTTGTTAAACACTTTTTGTGTTGCTTTATAACACATTCTCTTATTAAACTGAAAAATAACTTCAGCAAACTCTCAAAAAGCTCTCTGAGAATAACCCTACTCATATTTTATATAAAAATCCTTTAATTGTTCTGTTTTAAGAGCATCAGGAGCAGCTTGGTCATGATGTTTCTCTACTTTCTCTACTTTCTTTGCCTTTAGCTTAAAGTGCCTGTGAATATTAATGTATGACTTTTTTTGCTCTTTGTTTTAATTTGGGCCACGTGGGACAGGAGTGAGAAATGCAGGCTTGGTAAACATGCAAAAAGAAGAAAAAACAATTGTGCTTTGGAAAAGTTAGATGAAATGTGGATAATATTCCTGAAAGAAAATGTTCTCTCTTCCTTGTAATCAGTAAAATATGAAGGTTTTTTTAACTTCTGATAGATGTAAGGATTCATTTTCCATTTAACGTTAAGTTTGAAAAGCTAAAAGAACTGCTTTGTGCTTCATAGTTCACCTCACATTGAGGATTTAGGAATCATTTTATTCTCCTTGAATCATTTTCCCTAAATGTCAAAAATAATGAGCATTAAATAGCTTTTAAATTACTCACATTTCCACATACCTTCCCCAAATCTCCACTAATCTGCTCTGGAATTTAATCTCCATAAAAGCCTCCGTGTGTTCGCTGGGTCTGTTTTTTTTTTTTAGATTACAAAGAGGTCATACAGTAAACAAACAGAAGCACCAACATACTGTGAGGTGTCTTTTATTAGGTGATTGATCAGCGGATGAGTCTCAGTGCTTCTTTCCTATTGAGGCATACATATTATTTGAAAATGGAAAACGATTTACAGGCTTCTTGTTTTGATGGTGGAACCTGCAGAATACCTTACTGGTATAACAGCAACGCTGATTAACCTCAATGCAGAAATCAGAGGTTCAGATCCATCCAATCATCACCTGCTGCTTACTTGAGAGAAGATCAGTTGGTCTTCCTGAGAGTCTGTGGGGAAAATTCACCTTGTTGGGGTGGAAAAAATCCTTGGAGCTGTGTTGATAGGGAAGTTCCTGGGAAGATTTACCAAGAAAAACAGATAAATTGACCTCTTTAAGGTGAGAAAGACAAGAGTCTAAGTCTGGAGTCCATTGAAGGAGCCATAATAGAGATCACCTGATAGAAATGGCTTATTTACAAACAGAAATTATGTAAATCTACATTGGAAGCAAGGATGGTATAATTAAAGTTGGACACCTTCATGGTCTAATCTCCTGCTTCCTAACCGAACGACAACCCTTCACACTGGAAAAAATCTAAATCTAGAAAAGTCATTTCTTCTTAAAATAAGTGCATTTGTTATTGGATTAAGGAGGTAAAAGAGACATTTTGCCAACGGAACAAGACAATTTACACTTAAAATAAGAAAACACAATTGCATTCTCTTATTTCAAGTGCATATTATCTAATTTTACTCCTTCCATTGGCAAATTTCTGATTTACCTACTCAGGTTAAGGGTAAATACACTTAATTTAAGGAATGTTTTACTTATTTCTAGATCGTTTTTCCAGAATTTGACCATAAAGTCATGGCCCTGCCTGTTTCTGTGTGTCCACAGGTCTTAGCCACTGGTCTGTCTGGCCTGTACTCGTCTCTTCCAGCCAGACTGCAGGTTTACAGTGAAGACTGGCACTGCCTGGAGCCCGCAGACTGGCAGCAGGTGAGGATGCTCATCAAAGCAGGGGTACGACCAGGGGAGGGTGGTAATTAGTTACATTTACTCAATTACATTTACTTGAGTAACATTTTGAAAAAAAGTATTTTTAGGAGTAGGTTTACTGTGCTGTACTTCTTACTTTTAGTTTGAATAATATTTTTGTAGAGCATCGCTACTCCTACTGGATTAAAATCTCTGACTACTCTTTCCTCTGTGAGTAATTGGAACTAATCCAAAATCAAATAAGCATGAACTAGATATTAACAGTGGAAGTGTGTTATCCTATCCTAACATATATACAGTTCTTATTGTAAGGATAGGTTTATAAGGTTTATGTTAAAAAATTGGTAAAAATATTTCTTTTGCATGAATTTGCTCTTTTATATTCCTTCCATTTCTTTGTATTCTTTAGGCATTTGAGTCTTTAAAATGCCAAAACTTGCACATAAATTCTGTTTGCCAGCATCACCAGGATTCTTATCTTGTGTAAACAGGTTCCAGCTCTTGTACATTTCCTGCACTCGCTGGACTTCTGCAGCGCTGTTGCCAAGGTACAAAACGACACTAAAACACACAAACCTGCACAGATATACCCTCATCTGTACTCTCCTCTGATACAGTTTCTCTAAACTTCACCTTAACCCTTTGAAGGGCACTCAGTGAAATACTATGAAAATCAATATTTCAAGCCAATAGTGTTATTGGAATCCAGGACAAGACCTTATTACCTTTGTAACATTCAAAAAATATGGATATTTTGATGGCAAAAATGAATATCAATGTAATAACAAGAAAGGCCAACTTGCCCGCATACATTAGGAAAAATAGCGCTTACATTTTTTAGTTTATAAACCTAAATATAATTGTTAACTAGGCTTATTAACTTTTGAACTTTTTTGAACCTTTTTTTTCTTGACTTAACTCTTTTTTCAACCTAATTTACAGTACATAATATATCATTCAAGGTCTCATTTGTTGGTAAAAAATAAGATGTACAGCCATGTAGCAGCATCTTTGCTGGATGGCTGGATATAGATCTTGTGTTTCTAGACCTCACTGAGGGATGGGGGGCTCCATTTGTAAGGGGTATGCAAGTGATCAAAAACAGTAACTTGCCCTATGAAGGGTTAACGGTTACAACTGAATAAATAAACAACATTTTAATCACAAACTTTACTCCCTTTATATCCATATGTTTGAGCCACATTTTTCCCAGTGGTTTGTCTTTCCTATTGTCCTCATTATGATATGAAACCAAAGACTGTCCATCTGTCTCAGGTGGCCCATCCCTCCATCCGCTCCCAGCTGTTGAGCTACATTTACAACGGCTTCCTGGTTCCGGTTCTCGCTCCTGCTCTGCACAAGGTAACAAGCTTCTAGATAAGTAATTTATTATTGAATGACTAATTAAAGGAATAGTACACCCAAAACATGATTAGCCTTCATTTTCTACTCACCCCCATGCTGAACAACACTCTGGAGTACTTTTTTGATATCTCAAATGCATCTGGAGATCTGGGAGGCTTCTTGCTGTCTGCTGACATTCAAATAATGGAGGTCTATGGCGCCCGAGGCAGAAAGGTCCATAAAAGTCCACAAAAAAACGTGTCAATATTCCTCCATACTGCTCGTCCAATGTATTCCAAGTGTCCTGAGTGGGTAGCGTCCAGAATTTACTCGAAACGAAGTCATTTAGAATGTTTTTAGAGCATAAACAGTAGTGTATAGGATTTCCTGAAAGCGCGTTCACGACGCTACGGAAACCGCGGCAGACCAAACCAGACGAAAGTGCGCATTCAGCGTCTGCTCTGCCAATAATGCAAGCGTAGAAGAAGAAATGTGCTGTTTACCTGTGCAAAGAAAGAAACAACGAAAGAAAAATGTCTGAGGACTTCAGTGTTGAGGAAGAGCATGAGTTCTTTGCCGAGCTGAATGCGCACTTTCGTCTGGTTTGGTCTTTTTTGTGGACTTTTATGGACCTTTCTGTCTCGGGCACCATAGACCTCCATTATTTGAATGTCAGCAGACAGCAAGAAGCCTCCCAGATCTCCAGATGCATTTGAGATATCAAAAAAGTACTCCAGAGTGTTGTTCAGCATGGGGGTGAGTAGAAAATGAAGGCTAATCATGTTTTGGGTGTACTATTCCTTTAATGCCACTAATCAGCCCCTGGAGTCATTACTATTTGGTAGGTCAACTGTTAGGAATATGGCTGAAATGAACCTATTGACTAATATCATCTGATTTAATGGTTCCTAAGTACGTAAAATAGTAGAAAAGCTTTTATTACTATGACTAAATATGGGTTTGTTTTGAGTTTTAACACGGCCCTGCCATGTTTCCCCACTAGAGGGCACTAATTAATTTGTCCATATGTAGTCAATGCAACAGGATCTTAGAAATTACAAATTTTTCAGTGATTTTAAAGGTATCTTTTCTCCAGTGTTTCCTTTAGTTATTCAGAGAAATAGAACATGTCTCTCATGTGTCTCAGAGAAAATAAAAATACATGGATGATCATCTGGTATAAGAGTCATCCCTAACGTCTAACTGGTTTGTGTGTGTGTTGGTGTTTAGCTGACTGTGGAGGAGGTGATGACCACCACAGCGTACCTGGACCTGTTCCTGCGCTCCATCGCTGAGCCCGCCCTCCTTCACACCTTCCTGTCATTCATCCTGCTGCATCGACACGACAACGTTCAGATCCTGGACACGCTGGTCAGCAGGATCAACACGCCTTTCCAGGTACCGCGGTCGTACCACGGTCCCAGTAACGGTTCTGCCTGTCCTGTCTCTCTTGTTCTCTGCCTTCTGACCTTTCTTTCTTCGCCTGCAGTTAGGTACTGTGTCTCTGGCTTTGTTCAGAACTCTTATTGGACTCTTCTGTGAAGACGTTATGCTGCAGCTGGTGTTCAGGTCAGTCTGAAAAGAACCACAGCAGAAGGCCTATCATTGCTCATTTCTTCTTTCTTCTTAGATCTTAAAATTAGAGGATTTTATTAAGCTGTTTGGTTTTCTGCCTGACAGCGGACAGTAATGAGCAGGACTGAGAAAATGGTTGATCTTTCCTCAGGTATCTGATTCCCTGTAACCACCTGAGCAGGAAGCAGCGCTGCTCCTTGAAGCAGAGAGACTGTTACTCCTCCAGCGCCGCCTCCTTCCTGCTCCTCATGCCCTCCTGGTGCCCGGTGAACCTCAACTACACACATTCACCCTCAGAGCACATCCACTGGCCCAAAGGAGCAGGTCAGTGAGGATCTACATGACGAAACATAAAGAAACATCAAATAGGACAGAAAAATAGTGACTTTGAATCTGTGTGTCAGATCTGTCAGTTTCAGACAGTGTTGGTTACTGCCGAGGGTCAGACTTCCTGATGGATGTTAACTACATCCATTACCTCTGGGATGCGCGCCAGGCCATCTCCATCTCCTACAGGTTAGTTGTTCTGATGTCACACATGCTTCTGAATAAGGCTCAATAAAACAGCTTTAATCTTGGTTTGAATAACCAGCAAGCGGGAAAAAAAAATTCCACAACGAAACAAAAAAAGATCTTGGAAATTAAAATCTGGCTTTGTTTCTCTCCCCCTCCTCACTTTATTAGGACAATAAAGGTTAAATAAGCAGCAAAATAACGTTTAGAGATTTTAAATCACTGACTGCTGAAAAGCTGAAATCAGTACATCGAAAAAAATTTAAACTCTCGTGGCAAAAAAAAAATTCTTCTGGAAACAGAATCGACAACGTAACTTCACTTTGACACACTTTAGACAACCTACTGTTGTTAAATAGTGTCCTCATTGTGAAAAAAAACACATATTTCAATAAAGGGGTTTCAAGTGGCTCCTGCTGGACAGATGGTGCAATTACATACAAAAACATGTGTCTTAAAGGAATAGTACACCCAAAACATGATTAGCCTTCATTTTCTACTCACCCCCATGCTGAACAACACTCTGGAGTACTTTTTTGATATCTCAAATGCATCTGGAGATCTGGGAGGCTTCTTGCTGTCTGCTGACATTCAAATAATGGAGGTCTATGGTGCCCGAGACAGAAAGGTCCATAAAAGTCCACAAAAAACGTGTCAATATTCCTCCATACTGCTCGTCCAATGTAATCCAAGTGTCCTGAGTGGGTAACATCCAGAAGTGTATAAGATGTCCTAAAAGCGCGCGCCTGCACGTTCCTGACGCTACGGAAACCGCGGCAGACCAAACCAGATGAAAGTGCGCATTCAGCTCGGCAAAGAACTCATGCTCTTCCTCAACACTGAAGTCCTCAGACATTTTTCTTTCGTTGTTTGTTTCTTTCTTTGCACTGGTAAACAGCACATTTCTTCTTCTACGCTTGCATTATTGGCAGAGCAGACGCTGAATGCGCACTTTCATCTGGTTTGGTCTGTCGGCTTCCGTAGCGTCAGGAACGCGCATGCGCGCGCTTTCAGGAAATCCTATACACTACTGTTTATGCTCTAAAAACATTCTAAATGACTTTGTTTCGAGTAAATTCTGGATGCTACCCACTCAGGACACTTGGAATACATTGGACGAGCAGTATGGAGGAATATTGACACGTTTTTTTGTGGACTTTTATGGACCTTTCTGCCTCGGGCGCCATAGACCTCCATTATTTGAATGTCAGCAGACAGCAAGAAGCCTCCCAGATCTCCAGATGCATTTGAGATATCAAAAAAGTACTCCAGAGTGTTGTTCAGCATGGGGGTGAGTAGAAAATGAAGGCTAATCATGTTTTGGGTGTACTATTCCTTTAATCATTTATGTATGAGATAAACAGCAGTAAACAAAGTACTCAACAGCACTCCCTGAGTAAAAGTATTAATACTCATCATTGAATGTTACTCAACTACAAGTAAATATAAATTTGTCAAACAGCTACTCAAATATTTAAGCACTCGCTTTTGAAAATACCTATGTATTCAAACGTACATGCATTTAAAAGTACTTAAGTATTATAAATACTTATAACATTTTCTAATATCATTACATTTCTGTATAATTTAAAGAACCTTGTACATTTCAGAAACTTTCCATTGTATTCATGCTTGGAACCACAAATTCTACACCACCTGTAAAGAACTTCAGTCTAAATATCGCAAAAAAATAAATAAAAATAAGGACAGAAAATTTGTTAATTCTTATTTATAAACAAACCAAAAAGAAAACAGGAGTGTCTTGATTCTCCTCACACTTTCATGGTGGAATAGAGGTTTAATGTTGAATATATTACCAGTAAGAGATTATAGATCTGCTTTGATAGCTTAATAAAATGTATAAACTACAAATATTATCTGCCCTGAGTTTCTTCTGTTTGTGGAATGTCATCAAATCTCTTAAACAGTGGTGTCCAAGTTCAGTCCTAAGGGCTGCTGTGTTTCATGTTGAAATTGCATTTCAAGAAAGGAAAACAGCAACAATGGATGACAGAGTTAAGTGTCAACTATTCAATTAGTTTTCATTAATCCCTCAGTTTAGACCCAGAGGGAGGCCATCTATGAAACTGAGTGAATCATTTGAACAAATAATATTTTGGCCAGTAAGGGTTTGATGCTTTAATTGTCAAAATAATAAGCCAACTGTAGAAATAAATGTTTTAACATCTTAAATTATACTTGAACATGAAGTAACACTTTATATTTTTAAATACAATCTTTGGTTCCCAAAATAAAAGTGCATTTAAAGTACTGATTTTTCATCTGTTTTGTCTCCAGAGCCTGCAGGTTTTGGTCGGCGACATACGATGGCTTCGATCCCCCGCCTCAGGAGTACCGATCTGAAACGCCAGGGGATGATATAGAAGACGAGGAGGAATTCATGCAACGATTGAAGAGTGACTCTATCTGCTCTGGGGTTGTCCTTCATCCCCCTTCAGCTCTCTCTCCTACACCGTCATCCTCAGACACCATCTCCACTGGCAATCAGGCAGGCAGGGTCAGCTCTGCCATGGAGTTGGAATGGGACGACATTTTTGGAGAAGAGAGCATCCCTTCCTCATCAGCCGTCTTTAACTTTGCAAACGGATGTGTGGAGTCGGACAGATCTAGGTTTTCACCTGTACCTCCACCCCTGCTGCCGCCTCAGCACATCCAGGAAATGAGACTCACGGCGACCAAGCTGGTGCGTGGCGCGTACGTGGAGGAATCAGAGTTTCAGGACGACGTCATCGTCTACGACCTTGTTGCTCAAAAGGACACAAAGGCAGCCATATTTGAGCGGATTAAGGCCGCAAACAGACAGTTTCGTGAAAGCTTCTCCTATAAACGTAGAGTATCCACGGCAACAGTACCAACAACATCAACCCCAATAGTGATGGAGACGGTTAACAGCATCTTGTCAACACGGAGGAGGAGTGAAGATGGCGGTAAAGAGGAAAGAAGCAAAACAGAAGAGTTTGAGGGATTAGTGAGGAGGAAAAGTGAGGAGTTTTGGAATGGAACAAAGGAAAAGGAAGATGAAGGGATTAACGTAACTGATGGGAAGAATCACATCATCAGCAAATTTGATGATTCTAAACAAGAAACAAATTCTTCAACTCAAAACTGCTTCTGGAAAGACATCCAAATTTGTAGCAGTAACACCAATACAACACATGAGAAGGAGACACATCCCAAAACTGGCCTCACTACTCCTTTTGAGTCAAATATCATCACAAACGGACATTTAAAAACAGAATCACTTTCTTTTTATAAGACAAACACCCCAAACACAGTGCCTGCTGGTAACGGATTCACCAAGGATGACTTCTTGTCCCAATACTACGAGCTCATGCTCTCTTTAGGGGTGGAGCCTGACGGCGAGGACATTACAGATGACATCGGTACGTTCAGGAGACGTGTTCGAGCTCTGAGGCAAAAACTGGCGGAGGAGGACGAGCAGCTTTTCATAGACTTTGGTTTGAGCTGCGCATTGGATTACGCAGAGCAGGAGGGAGAAATAGAAGCCATGGAAGAGGAGGAGGAGGAGAAGAACGGAGGAAAGAAACAAGGGGTTCCATTCACAGGTTTGTGTTTGCTAGACAGGAACGAAATACTGAAATAATAAAACAGAACTATACCAATATGTTTTGGTATAGGGTCACTTTGTTGCTCTATGCTGACACCTGCTGGATCTTAAACACCATTGCATCAAACACAAATTGAATGCCATAGTTTATACAGTAATTCAATTCATTGCATGTCATATTGCATTATTTTAGATTTTAGTCTAGATCATTTAAGTTTAAAATATCTTAGATATCTTTCAAATATACAGTCTATAATGTGAATGCGTCATAATGTGAAAATCTAAAAGAAAGTTTACTGGATGTGTTTGATTTGCAACTAATCCAAGGAGCTTTTAAATTGAAAATGTTTAAAAAAACAGAGAGAAAAGGTTCCCTAGGTGTTGTATTCAGACGACTCTGTTTTCCTTTTTGATGCAAATTATACAAACCTCTCTGGATGGCAAAACGTTTGATGGTTCAAGCAGTTCCCAGAACTGTTCGCTATTAATGCTGAGAAGGTGTGCTTCCCTCTAACTAAGCCATCAGCCCCTCATGCTATATAGAGACCCTGTGTTTACTTTTGAAGTGATAAGGATGGTTTATGAGTCTCTACTGTCACATACTCCTCGCTTTAAGACCTAGCATTGAGGAGGTTCTTTTATTTATATTTGACAGCTCAGTCACACAAATGCAACATTTAACCTGCAAGAAATAAATGGAATAGCATAACTTTAGATTTATTTGGAGTCTGAGAGAATCAGAATCAGAATCAGAAATACTTTAATAATCCCAGAGGGAAATTACTTTTGTTACACGCTCCAGTTACAGTTTTATATATATATATATAGATGAAGTGGACAGAAAGGAAGGAACTACCAACAAATATCTTATTTGGTGATATTAGATTAAAATGGTCCATATGGTCGAAACCTTTTTTGTTATTTTAAAGGGGAACGTTTTTTTTTTTTAACCTTGTGCCCTTGATTTTACGATATTACATCATGTTCTACTCACCCATATGACTTTTGTGTCATTTGGAGCTGTTCTGAAGATATTCCGTTAGGTTATATCCAAGTAACATCTTCCTATGGGCAAAGACTTGAAGGCACAAACTAAACTGTTCATAATTTTTTCTTTATGTTATGCCAGCATTCATAAGATGTAGGCAAATCACTGTCTTCCAGACATCCGCGGTTATATTTTTTTATATTTTTAATTTTTTTAAAACAAAGCAGAGTGTGTATGACGTCATCCGCATGCGCCGGCTACCATTCATTCATCCTGTCCGCTGAACTGCTGCTAGTTTCACTCACATGCCTGGAAGATGTCTAGTGCTGCTACCACAGATGATCATAGGAAGACGTTACTTGGATATAACCTAACGGAATATCTTCAGAATGGCTCTAAATTACACAAAACTCATATGGGTGAGTAGAACATGATGTAATAACGTAAAATCAAGGTGCCAATGTAAATAAAAAATGAAATTCCCCTTTAATATCAAAATGAATTGATGAGAAGAACTATATCTTTGATTCATTTAATGTATCCCATTAACAGATGCAGATAAACCACCTTAGAAAACAGTTTGGCTCCTCTGTAACAGGGTAAACATCAGCTGGGTTTCTCTTTGTAGGATTGATTGACAGCACCAATGCATGTTTCTGACCCATTGCTACTATACAGTATGTTTTCCTTTTTTTCATTCCTTATACCAAACTGTGATTTCAAAAAACGCACTAGGTCCCTTCATCAGCGTCCTGTTGTCCCGACTGGAGAACCTCCTGGAAAACTCCATAGCAGTCAACCTCTTGGTCACAGGGATCCTAGCCCAGCTAGCATCGTACCCCCAGCCTCTACTGAGGTCCTTCCTACTCAGCACAGAAACACACAACCAGCACAGCGTACGGACTTTATACCAGGTAACACCAACACAGGTGGCATTTTCCTGAAACTGTTTCAGACATGATAACACTGTTTTGGCTGTATTTGCAGGTGTTGGTTTCAGTGCATGCTCAGATCGAGCACTATGTGGAGGAAAGACCTGAATATCCCTCTCTGGTCACCCAGGCTTGGAGGTTCTTGCTCGTTAAAGACCAGGATGGCAAATTTAGAGGTAAATGACTGAAGCCGAACATCAACACATACACCAACTGGTGGCAAAACCTCAAGTTGCACCGCATTATAGAAAACTATTGAGCCACCTGCCTCCACACACACACACACACAGCTTTGTTTTCATGATATATGCGGACATTTCATTGACTTGCATTCATTTTATATGGCCAAAAATGAAGCCTAACCCAGACCCTTACCCTTACCCTAACTATTACCAAGACGTACCTAATCCTAACCTAAACTGAATTCACACCTTAGTCTTAAACCTAACCCCAACTCAAAGAACAGAACTTTACCATATAGGGACCAGTTGAATGTCCCCATATGTACCTGTAAGTCCTCGCATGTAGGATATTTTACAAAATACTTCACTCACATTGCAGGTAAAACAAGACCACACACACACACACACAGGTTTTATACAAAGGGCGCTGGTTTTGGCCTACCCTTGTACGAGTAGCTATAACAGCTTTACATTGTTTGGAATTGCTGTCTACAACATTTAGAAGTTAATTAATTTGAATATTTGGTTACTGAAAAGCAGCTAAGAGTGAAAGCTTTGGTCTATTTCATCCTAAATTTGTTCTCCCACAGCCAGTGAAGATCCTTTACAGTAATCTGCACCTTTACACACGAGGAAAAGGTTGTTGGTACCCCCCGTTTAATGAAAGAAAAACTTCAAATAGTCACAAATATAAAATAAAATTTATAGATAGATAAAAATGTTCTGAAAATTTACAAATGAAACCTAGATGTTGCTTTCCAACTGTTAAACAGAATGATTTCTAAAAAAAACAAAAAACAAAACAAAAAAACCTGTAAAACCATAAAGAAAAGAAAATAATGTGACCAAAGGGACATGTTAAATCAAGGTATGTCCACTAATTGGCACTTCTGTGGTCTACAATCTTGTAATCAGACAATGGCCTTTATATAAATAAATAAATATATATATATATCTATATAGATATATCTATCTATCTATATATATATATATATATATATATATATATATATATATATATATAAATATATATATATATATATACTGAAAAAAAAGATACTTTTTATCAACTTGAAAAAATTACTGTAATTTGTTACACCTAAATTTATTACTTTGTCTCAAATGAAGTTTCTGATGTGGTTGAAACTGTACATTTTGATTTACTAGAAATATATTTTTTACCTTAAGCCAAAGAAAGAAACTACATTCATACAAAGTAAAACTATAACTTATAACAGATCATAAACAAGTTTTATGCTTTTTTTATAATCTATTTTTTCTGTTTGGAAAAATGAAATCTGTACAATTACATACAAGTATAAATGTAATTTGGAATAAAGTAGTGACAAAAATGTAAAACTGTATTTATTTCAAAGAATTAAAAACATAATTCTGATCCAACTATATTGACCACAGACAGGATTTATAAGTCATGATAACTTAGAGCTTGACCTTTAGTTGTTATAAGATCATTAGTTTGATCCTATTTTTTTTAAAGCTAAGTTCCTCTGAGTTCGTGCAATGGTCTCCATATGATAATGGAGCAATTTCTCTTGATGACTACAATGCCTGCCCATCATAATCCTTGTTATTCCAAAACTGAGCAGACTGCATTAGTTGGAACAGCTGCCTTGCTCATGGTGGTGCTGTGCTGCTCACACCTATTTTCAATTAGTCAGGTAATGAGGTCACATTCACGTGAGTTACAGCATGTGGAAGGATAAATGCCTAGTGACACTATTACCTTTGACTTGAAGTAGATATTTACTTGGAAAATAATTGCTTTAGTTGATTGTTTCTGTGATAAGTGATTTTTAATTCCAGGTAAAGTGAAATTATTGGTTTCAAACCACACATGCATTTTTTAAGTTGAAAAAACATCAACTTTTAAGTTGACCGAATTAAATGGACATTTCACTTCTTTCAGTGTGTATATATATATATATATATATATATATATATATATATATATATATATATATATATATATATATATATATATAGATATATATATATAGATATATATATATATATAGATATATAACAAAATGTATGGAAGTGCCTAATTTAATAGAAATAAAATGCCTGATTTAAATGTAAATGTTTTCATTTGTCAGAATCTAAATCTACTTTTCGAAAATGTGAACTTTCATACAGTTAGTTGCTGCTTTAGACTTCAAAAGGTTAAATTCAGTCATAAAGGTTGAGGAAAGGATGCTAAATAAACCAACATTTTTAAAAATCCTTCATAAAACTTTTCATCCTGAGCATCCTAAAAGCTTACCAATAGTCTCGACTGGTTTACAACGAAGGAAAAACTGTAAAACAATTAACTTTGTACATTTTTTATGCTAGTTTAATTTAATTCCTTCTACATAAGGAGATCCATCGTACAGAACTTTATAATAAACTGATAGATGTTTTCTGTAATAAACTACAAGGAAATAATGATGCAGAATTCACAAAATTTTAAAGCGGAAAAACAAACCAGTGTTTTGCTATAATTTAACGGAATCAATTTAAACTAATGAGCCCTTTTTCCCCATATTTTGTCTCTCAGAGGCCCTCCAGTCTCAGGGCGGGGACATCATCCTGGATCCATCTCTACCCAACGGCTCAGTGAGAAACGCCCTGCCTTTGCCTCCCCTCAGTGTCTTACCCCCGTGCCCCCCCATCCCTCCTCAAGCCAAGAGCCGAGTGTTTGCCATCATTCTGTACGCCGAGTTCCTGAAGGAGCTGGCAGCCATCGCCCAGGAGCACAGCATCGCTCTGGACTGTTGTTCAGAGGAATAATGCACTCGTCTACTGTTATGAAGATCTGCACTGGACTAAAATCACATCTTAGGAGCTGATCACAAATCACTGGAAAACTTCTCAAACCAACCTGTAGATTTATGCAACTTATGTGGACTATATTACCTTAAATTATTCTATTATTTGCAAATCTTCATGTAAACTTTCTTTTTTGCCTGACTGCACTTGAAAATGTGTCCCCATATGAAGATAGATTATATTTATAAAATGTTTGGAAGGAGATTATTTTAAAGATGATTGATATGAACATTTTTTATAATCAATGTGTGGCATTTTTGAAAATGTTTTATTGAATCTTTTCATACATTTCTTGTTAAACTTTCATTTGATTTAAGATACAGACAACTACATTCTTGATATTTGAACCTATTTGGGAAAATATAAAGAAACTTTAAAAATATACAAGGAACATTTAATACATTGAAGTGACTTGAAATAAATATTGAAAAGATTTCAAAGATCTTTAAGTGCCTTCGCTTCAGCTCATTTTCTGTCGATTTCAATTATTTTTAGAGGGAGAATTTATTTAGTTCTACAAAACTCATTAAACGTAAAAAAAATGAGGAAAACACACCAATTCACCCCTGCCATAGATTCCTAATAGGGCGAAGCCCTGGACACTATTAGCCATGTGAATAATCATTACCTCACCAATAGGACCAACTATGTCTTTATGGGATCCTGTAAGTCGAGACCCCTCCATTTTGCTAGTGGCGTTCCCCAGGGCTCATTCTAGGGTATCCTGCTCTTCTTCTCCTCAATGACGCTACTAGGTCCTCAGCAGACACAATGTTGTCATGAAACGAGGACAGATGGACCCAGTATTCAGGAGAGACAGTCAGTAGGAAAGTTCAAAACGTTTATAAGATAACAAAACAAAAACTAAAGTGGAGCTGAGGCTCGCGGACACTACAGAAGGGGGGCGGGGCACCGCCCAGTCTCAGACACTCTGGTTTAACAGTCCAGTCCAAGAATGTCCCCAGTGCTGCAGTTCCAGAGGTCTTGCAGGAAGCCGATCCTGGTGAGGGATTCAGAACAGACAGAACAGGATCCAGATCAGGCTTGATCCAGGCTTCCAGGCATCATAGAGCTCCCAGGCGGGTTCAGAGTCTGACTGGGACCAGAAGCATGACCAGGTGGTCAAGCACAGGAGCAAACAGGATCAGGTGCAGATGAGCAGGCGCAGTGGAAGAGGGTAGCCGAGACAGGACGTGGAACCAGAACTAGATGCAGGACTTTAAACTGGTTTCCTCCCTGGAGCCAGGCCTAATGGAATAAAAACTGAACCTCCCCACATATAGAGCCAAAAACCCGGAGGACTCCGCGGGGGAGGAACAGTGGACGATCAGGAGACGAGACAGACACAAAAACCCTCTTTCCACTGGCTGCCAGGATCCAAAACATGAACCAAGGAATAAAACTAACAGGCAAACAGAAAGAAAAATAATGATCTGGCACTGAATGCTCAGGCTGAACTGAATATAAACCAGAGGAAACAGGTGAGAGGAATAAATTATAATTGAGGCAGGGAGGGAAAACGGCAGGTGAAAGAGATCAATTAAGGAGGATCAAGACAGTTGTCATATGTTGCTGCTTGTCTTAAGAAGAGTGAAGCCTAGATTATGGATCATTTCACAATCAAGTCCTCAAATAACAATATCCTGCAACTTATAGATATATCCCTGGTCCAAAACACCTGAATCTAATGTTTTAATCCCTTCCTAATGAGCTTATTGTTTGATTTAGGGGGTTGAAGCAAAGACAAATAAAAGATGCAGGACACCAGCCCTCGAGGACTGAAGTTTGACACTTCTTAGATAACTTCCTTTAGCTTCCTTCCACAGTAGCAAAAACGAGGACATACTTGTTGGCACATCTCACCAGATCACCACCTTCTCCATTTCCAGGCTCTCATCGGATGACCAGGTCATTGCTCTCTCTCTCCCAGCTCACCTTGGTGTCCGGTTCAGTCAAAAACTCCCAAATATACAGTAGGAGCTATTCAAAATGGTCCTTCCCAGTCAAACAGCAGCCGAATGGCTGGAGTGACCCCCCCTCCTTCTTCTGGGTGTGCATATTTTTTACTCCGACTTCACTCTTTCACCAAATTAAAGGGTCTGACCAGGAGATGATGCTTCTCTTTATATCTTAATGTCCACAAATCATGACAGAAATAATATTTTAGTACAAACATTGAAGTTTAAAACGGTCGGGGACCAGCCAAGGGCCCATCAAGGAAATTGAGGAAATTTTCGAATGGCTACTACTTTACATCCAATCCTCTCCTGCTCTTATGCTGGAAAACTTACCCATGCCTTTTTAATCACCCAAAAGCATTCAAAATGTACAGCATGTTCAAAACAGTGCCAACCGAGTAATCCTGGAAGTAAGCAAGTTTGAGCATAATACACCCGTCCTATAAGCACTTAATCCCATCCAAACCTACACCCGTTTCCTACAGCTGTCCGTCTTTACCAGGCTTTGAAACAACAGCCTTTAGCTCAGCCACATCCGGCTCTTTAAAAACACAGTTGCTGTTACTGTGTGTAAGACAGCAGAAGAAGGCTGGGCTATGTAATAAATCAATGCCCAACTTAGGAAGGGTGAGAAATATTTGATCAAATACGTACCTCTCTGACTGTCATATGTTCTGAGCCCAACCGGCTGTGTGTTAAAACAATAAATGAAATTCTATAACAAGCTCAAATCCTGGTAAACAGTTAACTATACCCACATATGGAATAAATTCCCAATAACTTCCATTAAGACATAAACGAATTTCACAAAAATCTGTCCCAGTCAATTATATTTCTGTTAACGACTTTTAACGAGTGAAACTCAAACAATCTTAATAGTTTTTTTGTCTTTGTAAAATCATGTACTATTGTAAATGTGTATCTGTTGTTTTTTTAAGATAAAATTTGGAAACATCTCTGCATCAAAGTGAGCAGGCAGACCAAAAGCGCCGCAGCTGATGCCATCCAGGAAGTGCAGAGAAAGTTGGGAGGGGCCAGTTTTGCCAGGTCCAAATAGATACTGAGACAACCAAATGACAACCTAACCAAACCTCTTATCCTGCTGGAGAAGGTGTATCAAAAAATCCTGATTGATTAAATTTCAAAAACTTAGAAAAACCTATTCTTAAAAAAAAAAAAAACCCTACTCTTCAAGTATTCACGTTAACTTAAATATTCAAGGTTGTGATACATTATTTGTCAACTGCATCTAAAAATATCAAAGATATATGAAGTTTAAATTAAGATATGAAACTATACAATATAACATCCAACCAACCATGGATCAGAGTCAGATATGCTGCCTGTAGGGAATTTAAGGTCCACCAAGTGTCACTATTCAGTGACAGAGTATCATTATACAGTTTAGCAATGTGTGAAATGCTTCATGACATCTCATCTACCCATCAATACGTCCGTCTATGCCTGTGAACATAAAGCAGTAAACTTTACATTTACTGATATTTGTAGCAAAGTGAGTGAACAAACATTTTTTATTACATAAATATATAAATACTAAATATTTATTCTTGAGGGCAGGTGTCCATATAAGTTTGATTTCTTTTAACAATTCTGCCTCTTTCCCTTTTTTGATGCCCTAGAAACTTCATGCAATGTAAAAATCTCCTGACAAAAAGCCACGGTGATCGAAAAAAAACAGTAACAAACAATAATAAATATATATAGGTAAAAGTGTGCAAAAAGAAGATATGGGAACAATAGTAGAACTATTTGCTGGAGAGAAGGAACAGCTGAAACTTATGGAGGCAAAGGGATCTGAAGGGGGAACCACTGAAAGTAGAAAAAGGAACAGGAGCCAGACGCTGAAAGTAGAGGGATATTATATAAGAATAAATGAAAAAAGGGAACAACTAGAGAACATAAAAATCACAAGGGAACTGAGCCATTAAATTGGCCTTGGGAAAAATGACAAAAACTGTAAAGGATTATTCAATTTCAATTCAATTCAGTTAATTTATTTAGCGCCAATTCACAACACAAGTCATCTCAAGGCACTTTACTGTTCAAACAGATCACAAAGTCAATTTGATTCAATTTTATTATATCTGCTTTAGTGTCTGCACGCATTTGCTGTTTTCTTATCAGAAGTCATAGTTCTGAAAGCATGACATCTGAGGGACTTTATGATTTTCAACGTTTCCCAAACAATTAAATCACTCATGAAGGTGTCCAGCTGCATGCGCCTTGAGATGCCTCAATGTTATCTTCTGGGTCTGTCAAGGTTGAAAGACCTGAGAGGTTTTACAAAAAAGATTAGAGCACTTAGAATGGAGAATAATATTTAACCTCTAATGTTTCTCACAGCAATTTGTTGAGTCAATTATGTGTAAGAAAATAGATATTGTCTTGAACTGATGTTGTCATATTATTATTTTTTTTTTTTACTCCAATAAGCGCAGACAGATAAGGTTAGATTGGTTTATGTTGGGGCTGCACGTTTAAGCTGAACTTAGAGCTCCTCGTCAACATGAGCTTTCACAAAAGAAAAAGATAAAACAAGTGCAGAGGAAATGTGATCTTTTTTCACTGAAAATCTTATCTTCAACACAGCGTAATGTGAAAAGCATCACTTCCTAACCCGTGAAGCATCTGCTGTTAAGAATGAGGTGTGAAAAATATGGTTAAAGGTTATTGACAGACAGTTTCAGTCATCTTTAACGGTCTCTTTATATGAAATTATAATAAATTAAGACTAAGCTGCAGCTCTTTCATTTGACTTTGATTTTATGAATTTGCAAATAAAATTGTGTTTGGACGTATTGTTTCATCTTTTTTCATGTTTTGACCCTAAAAACTACATATAGTGAATTAGTGGATTTAGATAGAAGGATCAACACAGAATAACCCATCTTTATGAGTTAGTGGAAAAATTGTGCATTTATTTTATTTTGTCTTTTTACCAATAAGGATATGAAACAATTTTTACTTTGGAAGTCAGCTTTTCTTTTAATCTGATACCCTTTATTAAAATCCAGAGCAAAAATCCCCTTCAGAGGCCACCTAATTAATCACTAGGTAAGAAATTTATAACTAACTCTCAGTTATGACAAGGTATTGTTAGGACTCCAGTCTGTGTGGTCTGTGTTTTTGTGTGTTTGTCTTCCTTCCTCCACCAGGCGGCGC